CATGCTGATCTCATTTGCTTTCACCTGAGGAGCCACCATCATTGCTTAATATCTTCCAGGTGCAAGTGGACATTCAATGAATTAATAATAATGATGTCTAACATTTCCTGACAGGGCGTACTGGGAATTGCATAGAAAATGTCTTATATCTCATTTCCTGATGATGGGACTTGGGAATGATTGCTTAGTCTATAATTTGTACAAAAAGGAAGAGATTTTCTTTGCAGCAATTAAGGCTAAGCCATTAATACATCTGGTATTTTCATAAAAATGCTTGATGACTAAACAAATGCAAATAAATAAAAAAGAAATAAATAAGTAAATAAAATTTTCTAAAGTGAATCAAAACAATGAGAAAAAATATTGTCCTGAGTGCTTAACTTTGGTATATGTATTACCTAACTCCTAATGTTATGTAATATGTAGTAACACATTAAAAATAGAATAATTTGGGGATAGTTTATTTACAAAGAGACTATTTATAAAGGCAAAGGTGAATCACACAGACAGTGCAATAATCCAGGGCTGGTAGCCCCTGAGATTTTATGCTTAGTCCTGGAGTTGGTCATTTAGAAAGTGTCTTAGTCTATAACAGAATACCATAGACTGGGTGGTATGCTTAAAAAACTATGAATTTATTTTTCACAATTGTAGAGGCTGGGAAGTCTAAGATCAAACTGCTGACTGATATGGTATCAGGAGATGGCCTGCTTTCTGCTTCACCAATGGGGCCTTCTCACTGTGTCCGCATGTAGTGGAAGTGGGGAGGGTCTCTCTCAGTCCTCTATCATTAGGGAGCTAAACCCATTCATGGGGGTCCACTGCCATGACCTAATCACTTCCCAAAGGCCCCACCTCCTAATAATATCATCTTGAGGGTTAGGATTTCAACATATGGAATTTGTTGGGACACAAACATTCACACCATAGCAGAAAGGAGCTGGACCTTCACTTATGGATCTGACCAGCCTTAGGGAACCTCCTAAGGATGGGTACATGAAGAATGAGTACCATGACTTCACTCTCCCCTCATATTCTAATCTCCTATTAGTGTTTTTCATTAGTCAAATCCTACAGAAGCCAGAGGGCATGGGAGCCTTGTTGATGCAGTTCATACTGATCAGCTTGCCAGAGCAGATAGCATGTCAAAGGGTGGGGAGTGAATCTGTAGGGGAAAACAGAAATATATGGCACATTCTGTCTTTTCAGAATCTTTTACCATATTGTTAGACACATAGGCCACCTTCCCTCCCTCATCTCTTTATCATCTCTATCTGGCTCTGCTAAGGCCACTGTCTGGAATCTGGGTGGAGGCTGCTACGCCTCCACTGCTCTCAAGTCCTGCTGGCCTTCACACTTAACACAACATGGACGCCATCGAGGTTTCGGTCCTCTACTCTCCAGGGCTACTACATGAACCACACTTGGGGCCGCTCCAGCCTGAGCAGCTGGGATACAGGGAGCAGGATCCCAAGGGCAACTGCGCCCCAGGTCTGTCCTCCAGGATAACTCAGTCCTAGGCCTCAGGGTCGATGATGGGTGGGACACACTTCCAGACTTCTGAATGCCTGCAGGGCTTTCCTCTCATTTTCTCTGCTATTAGCATCTGGCTGCCTCACCGCCAAGATAATGTCTTTAGCAACCAATTTATCTGCTTCACCCTTGCCTTGTTCTCCAGCTCTCTGCTTCTTTACTGCATGGCCAGGCTGCAAATTTTCCAAATCTTTATGCTCTGTTTCACTTTTAAATTCTGGCCTTACATCATGCCTTTGCTGCCATAACTCAGAGTAGGCTCTTAAAAGCAACCACGCAGCTTCCTTAATGCTTTGCTGCTTAGAAATTTCTTTGGCCAAATGCTCTCTTGTTCACAACTCTTAAGTTCCAACTTCCACAAAATTCAAGGGCATGGACACAATGCAGCCAAATTCCTTGCTATAGTGTAGCAAGGGTTATCTTTTGTCCAACTCCCAATAAGTTCCTCATTTCTATCTGAGACCTCATCATCTGCATGGCCTTTACTGTCCACATTTCTATCAGCATTCTGCTTGCCACCACATAAATCTCTAAGACATTCCAAACTTTCCCTATTGTCTTGGCTCTTAAAAATTGGACATTTTGAACAAAAGCCTAGTTCTTCCCAGATGCAATCTGGCTGCAGAGGCCACCAGGAATGGCATCTTCATTAACCTCTAATGAGCATCCCATTAGTGCCTGCTTTTAGAAGATGGAGATTATCTCCTTTAAGTTTGTTCCCTTTGCTACTGCCTGACTATGCCAATTTGTCTGGCTACTGCTAAGCTACAGCTAAGGCCTCACACAGTGCCAATTGTCTAGCTCTTAATCCTGTTCATGACGCCAATTGTAAAGCTAGGCGACCATGCTAGTTGTTGCGGCTCTTTTACCTGTCAGTAATCCTGCACTGACTGCGCTGATTGTCGAGCTAGGGCTGGGTCTGGAGCTCCTAAACCCCTCAAGCCTATTCACAGATGGGGTCACAAACCCTTCACACACCAGGCTTGGTCACCAGACCCCTTCATGCAGGTCTACGAACTAGGTAACTGGCCACATGGTCCCTGGAAGCTGCAGGTCGGGGAAAACATGGCCATGCAGGGCAGGTGCCCGAGGTAGTAAAATAACAGCCAAAGGGGCTCCACCTTGTAGGTGCACTTACTCCACCCACACACTCAATGTTTACTGAATCACCCTCAACCGGCTCCAACGTGAGGGTCTGGAAGCTGCAGGTCGGGGAAAACATGGCCATGCAGGGCAGGTGCCCGAGGTAGTAAAATACCAGCCAAAGGGGCTCCACCTTGTAGGTGCACTTACTCCACCCACACACTCAATGTTTACTGAATCACCCTCAACCGGCTCCAACGTGAGGGCAGCCTGGCCAAATTATTCTATTTTCCCAACAACCTCGCATGATGAATTAAACCTTAAAACCAGAGAAGTATTAGAAGACAGAAGTCCACAATCAGTGCTTTACAAACATTGCATGCTCTTCCTGGAAGAGCTCATCTGTTTTATATATATTGCACACTCTTCCTGGAGGACCTCATCTTCTCCTCTGGCCCTGGTTACCATCTATATGCTGATGGCTCTAAAATCCACAGCTCCTCCTACACCTCTTTCCTGCCCTCTAGATGAGCGTACCAAACTGTCTGCTGGTCAGCTACACCTGGATGCCTCACAGGCTTCTCAAACTAGTAAATTCAAGAAAAGAATCCACCATTTATTGCATGGTATCCTGACAAAATTGAAATGCCAATGAGCCTGTTTCTTCGTTTCCTAAAATGAAGACAAAGTTTAGAAGAGGTTATTTTAATCATGATTAAGGAGTGGCTTGCACAGGTAATTGTGGTTATTATAAAGATCTGAAAATTTTGTCATTATCTATGGTCCATACTAATATTAAGACATAACTTAAGACTTCAGCCACTTATAATATCCTCCATGTTAATTTTGATTTGCTTTTACGTGAATAATTATGTTAGCTAATAGTTACTGAGTGCTTCCTATATGTCAGGTACTTTATTTGTATTCTTATTTAAGTCTGACAAGAACCCTATGATGATGAAGAAATTGAGGCTTTTAGAGGGGTTGTCTTGCACAACGCTTCATAGCTGATAAGGGGTAAAGGTGAGTTTCAGACCCAGATTGTCCAACTGCAGAACATGTTCGCATCAGTTCTCTGCAATATTGAATACAAATCATTCTTACAATCCAGGGCAGAGGTCATGAGCTGGGTGCTGAGTCTGACACTGAAGATGTGAGGGGTAAGAAAGATATAATACATCTTGAAAAAGCTGGAGAAGAGATATTATAAGGTAATAGCAGCTGAAGATTTAGGATATTTTTAATTTTCTTTTTTAAAACATTAGGTAAGCACGCATTGTGCTAGGTACTGGGGAAAGAAAAGCAGTGAAGACAATTTCAGTCTAGTGGGAAGATAAATAAGTACATTATAATAAAATTTTATATTAAGATAGATTATATGCAAGATTTACAGAATATTAGAGAATTTAGATACAGACAAAATTCATTCATTCATTTCATTCACTCAAAGAGCATTTCCTGAGTATCCACTACACTGTGCTAGAAGCTGGAAAAACAAAAAGGAATAATACGGTCCTTACCCTGAAGAAACTCACAGACTAGTAAAAATGTGGCAGTCAGGTAGCAAGAATTGCTACTAGGGCCTGGAAGAATTACACAGTCTGGACTGTTCAGACAATATCAATTGTATAGTTAAGTGTTTGGGTTGGCAAGAGGAGGGGATGCTGAAGAGGAGTGCAATGGTCCCGTCTAAAAGGGATGGGGTTTTTTACTCTGACAACCCAAATTGTTGCTGCTGGAATTGCAAGTTGACTCGCATTTTCCTGCAGCATCAGTTTTATTATAATAATCCGGAGGACAAAAACACATGCTTTTTGCTATTAAAATATGGATGCATTAAGGAGTTGAATGCAATAGCATACGGATTAGTAAAATATGACAGGAAATGAATTTACACCAAAGGGCTTGAATTAGCCAGGTAAGACGGGAAGCTAAAATGCTATTCCACAGCTGGGCAGGCAGATGGCTTTAGCTTTCACGCCTGGAGACTCTGGGGCAACAGTTCAGGGTCCTCAGCTCTCAGAGGACCTCGGGGAAGACAGTTGGGGAACACAATGTTAAGTGCGCAAGAGAAGCAGAAAATTTAGGCACACGGCCTGGAGAGAGGCTGGGCGCCAGCGACAGGGAGCCCGTCGTCTCCTCTGCTCCCTGTACCGCTCATTTCGAAAAGCTCCTCCACCAGGTGACCCTTTGTCACCAGAAACAGAACCTCTGGCTCGGGAGCTGCCCTTTGAACTCCTGGCGCCTCGTTGCCGGGACAACCCTCTTCCGCCGCGCCTTGGTGGCCTCCCTGCTATTGGCTTAGAGGACGCAGCGCGCGTCTGACGTCATTGCGCGGCGCCGCCAGATCGGGGGCGCGCGAAGACTTATTTCCTAGAACTCTGGCGGCTGTCGGCTGAGCGAGCGTCGGGGAAAAGCCCCACCTGGGGCGGCAGCTGGTGTGCGGGTCGCAGCGGGGGAGAGGCGCGGTAGGAACGGGTCCCCGGAGCTGTGGACATCGGGTGCGGGGATCCCGTCCGCGCTCTCTGCCAAGCTGGCTTCCTAGCTGGCCTGTTGCTAGGGCCGCCGGACGCCGTTGCTAAGGACCGTAGAGATCCTGAACGTCTAGAGCGCGCCGCTCCTTACCTGGGGTCGACTTTGGTCAAGAGTAGCCTTCGTTAGTCTTAATTGAAACCGGTTGCTTTCTCCTCCCCCTCCCCCCCTTATTTTTTGAGATTTTTTTTATTTTTATTTTTTTATTTTCTTTTTTCTGTTTGTCTTCCTAATTTTCTAACTCTTGACAACACGTTGGCTTTGAACTGATAGGTATTTTGAAGTTGGGTGATGGGTTGAGAGGGAAAGACTGGAAAGATGGAAAGCAGATTTTAAGACACTTAGTACTGGCACTTTGGATTTACTTTATGGTAAAAAGGACTTGGGATAAGTGGCTACTGGGCTCTGTCTCTGCCCTTTGGAGTTTGGAGGAACTTTAGAGATGAACACGGTTTCTTTAGCGGGACACCTTTTACATTGTTGGAACTTTCTAGACACCAGCTTAGAGAATAGGAAAAAACGTGGTTTCTGCCCCTGAGAATTTAGCAAGCAGTTTAGTGCAGTGGTCTCAAAAGCTGGCGGCGGGAAGAAAATACATATAGGGAAAGAAATAGTCTATACCTATGAGCTGTCCGAAACAATGCTAGAAAGTATTTTTTCCTAGCGTTGACACGGATGCCCACAGTTCCTTGTAAGTTATCTGCAGCACCCAAGGAAACCTAAGGGGCCCTGCTTGGTTGATTTGCTGTCTGATATTGTGACATAGTTTAGGTGTTCCAGGTTAAGTGGATTTATAGATTCTGGTATCTACTTAGAATCCTTATTGTTTTGAGAATGAGGGGTAAACTTGACAATTTTCATAACAAAATAGTACTTACCCCTTCTCCCCACACTACCTCTTTGCACCATCCTCAACACGATATTTAATGAAAAAACACTCAAGTTGCTGGGAATAAGATGAATTAAATATTTTTCTCTTACAAACAACTCATTCTGCAGGCTTGTTATCAGCGGTATCCTCCCCAATGGATATTATTTTCAAATATTGATTACACTTCATTTTCTCCTTAAGGTTAAAGAGTGATAATTTTAACAAGGTGAAAAATTGTTTTTGTAAAGAAACTCTTTAACATAGGCTGTTTTGAAAATGGACATATATATGTTTGCGTCATTTTTTGTGTATGTGTTTTGTTGCTGAAAATCACATGAATATATTACACATAAAAACTGTCCTGTATATTTTTTAAAAAAAGCTCAATTTCCTAGCATGTCTTTCAAGTGAAGAGTTTCAGTAACTTTTTGAACTTGTTCATATTTTGCAACACCTTCCCATTAGTATGTTACAAAAACAACTTTTTGACATAAAGGAACATAAGAAATTTAGCTGTAGAATTCCATCATAAACTTTTACAGAATTGGTAGTAGTATTAAAGAGTGTGCATTTTGATTTGATGTGTCTGCCTGTGCACATTTTATGTTTGTGGGTAGGCATATTTGCGGTGCATCTCTTTCAACTATGACAGCTATTACAACTTATAATCAAACGAAACAAATTAAAACACATCTTCAAATTGATGCAGCCCAAGGTGTTAAAACCAGATTTTCCAGAAGGAAGGAAACATTTATTTTGACCACACTATTACTAGTAATGCTAAAAACCACTTTGTCCCATTGTAAAGAAAATGATAATAACAGCTGAAACTCGTATAACACTTACTATGTGCCAGTTATTTATATGTGTTTTACATATATTATCAGTCTTCATCAATACTTAGTTACTGTAATTATCCTCAATTATAGAGTTGAGGAAACAGGCATGGTTCTTTTTTGTTTTGTTTTGTTTTGTTTTAACTGAAGCTTATGTTATTCCCCCTCTAATAGCTTCTTAAACAGTTAGAGGCCAGGCACAATAGTAAATACTTGCTGAATGATCACAGAAGTGGAAAAGTAAGTTAACATATTTAAATCTTGTCATAGATTATTTTAGAATACTATCTGACTAATAGCTTCTTAAACAGTTAGAGGCCAGGCACAATAGTAAATACTTGCTGAATGATCACAGGAGTGGAAAAGTAAGTTAACATATTTAAATCTTGTTATAGATTATTTTAGAATACTATCTGATAAATTTTATAAGATTTTAATTCCCATATTGCTAGAAAATGCCTTGGAAATGAAGGTGAAGTGTGATGTTGGGAAGTGAGTCATCTGCTGGTAGTAGGATGAGAAAATGAGATCAATGTATTAAATCAAGAAAATTTAAATTAAAATTCTGTGTGCAGACACATTTAGTTTATCTTTACATGGCATTTTGATCTGATTCATTATATTTGGAATATTATCTGGCTAAATTTTATTACATGGAGCTGTGTCCTCCTTTTGATGATTTCTAATTTGTCAAGTAGATTAAAATCGCTTCATGAAAGGAATTGTTTAAGAAACTATCAGTGTTTATTTTGGAGAAGAGAAAACTAGGGAGTTAAGAGTCAGTGTCCTCAAATATTTGAAAAGCTGTCATTTGGAAGTGTAAGAGGACTTGTGTTGTCTTAAGGGAAGATCTTACACTGTTGTTCATGGGCAGTCATACATGTAATGACTACATTAAAGGCATAAAGTGGGAAGCTCACTAATGGTAGATTAACTAGTGTCGTGGAAGGGAGAGAACGGAGTAATCAAATAGAAATAAGAATAGGAAATTAGAAATCAGAGTGCCTTAGATGTATGCATTTGAGAAAGGGAGGAAATGAGGAAAGGTTGCACAGAAGTTGGGAATGGAGCTGGGCCTTAAAGTACCAGCAGGCAGTTGGGTAATATGGGTCTCTGTGTGTGTGTGTGTGTATGTGTGTCTCTGTGTGTGTTCCTTGGTAGAGATACAAGTTTAGAAATAATTTGGTTGGACTAAGTAGGAAATCTTGGAGTATGAACTAGATTCCTAGAGCCCAAAGCTCGCTCTTCCTCATCGCATGTTCAACGCATCTGTAGGGTTGAGTGTTGGAAGTGAAGGAAAGTGAGACAACAATCCTAAGGTTTTCAGTGTGGGGGTCAGAAAACTGGTGGTACCTTGGATTAGTAAGTGTTCATAACCTCAGTTTTAGTTATGTTCAATTTAAGGAGCTTGTGGTACATTGAGTACGTGAGTTCATTATGTTACTGGAAAGGTAGAATCTGATATGCAGGCGTTAATATTTGGAGCTTTAGAAATATAGTGGCCAACAAAAAATGATTACATTGTATAATGATAAATATAGTAATTATCCTGATCTGACAATCACATATTGCACAGAAGTATTGATATTCAATGCTGTACTCCACAAATATGTACAGTCAGTTATGCTTCAATTAAAAACAAAGAAAGAAAAATACAGAAGCCAAAGAAGATGGAGAAGATAGGGGATGTGCCCCTTTCAGAAATCTAGTCTGTGTTTTCTAATGTGAACAGAGAATTGCAATTGAGTTTCTAAGGGGGTAGTTTGATAGTTTAAATGGGGGGAAAAAAGGTTTATTTTTATATATCTGGTTTTCTCGCAGATGTTTTCTATTTTGTTTTTATTGATATTATTGAAGTTGACATAATTTCGTATCTTCTGATTAGTCTTTTCCAGTATTTTCCTCCATTCTACAACATTTTTGCATATCTTTTGCTGTATTTTATACTCTGTTCTGTGTTGATCTTTATGTTGGTGATAAATGCCCCTCCAACCAAATTTTGAAATCAAGTTTTAATTAACTGCAGGAGGAAAAGAGAAGCAATGCAGAAATCAGAGTGCCCTGGAGGTGCACAGTTGAGAAACAGAGTAACAGGTACACAGAGCTTTGCTTTTTAAACGAAAAATTCAAGTTTATTAATGACACGTTCTGTGTTACAAATGGATGCAGGGTGAACTTTACTGCTTTCACTTCTTTTTTGTGGATGTTCTGTTTTATCCAGGTAACTGTGATCAAAAGACATCATCAAGTGCACAAATAAAACACAGGGCTACAGTTCAGAGAAGCAAATCCTCATTGTCAACCAGTTCTCCAGAGTCTGCAAGAAAACCTCATCCTCGACCAAGTGATAAACTTAACCCTAAAACAATTAACCCAGTAGGTACAAAAAAGATTCTTAACTCAGTAGCTATTTCAAAATAATAGGCATTTGGCACACTACTGAATCATACTGAAGGCTGTCCTGAGTTTGCTTCTTTTGCTGGTTTTAAGCAAGTGATGAAGGAAGGGCATATGATGGTCATGGTGATGATCATGATGAAGAACCAACCATAATGATGTGCATGTGGGAGTGAGTGTGCAGAGGAGAAGGTGTAGAGATTAACCAGTTTTGGTATGTCCTTTTACATTTATCGGTGAGCATAGTAGATCATAAAATAG